TACATACATACACACATACCTAATTTAAATACATACATACGTACGTATGTGCATACATATACATAGAGGGAACCAGAGGGTAGCACCTATTACGGGCCCATGTTTACGAGTAGATGCATGTTAAGCGATACTTTTACGCTGGCATATTTTCCGCATGTTAGACTCAGTTCTTCTACCTTTTGTCCTTGAGAGCTTCAATGCCCATGCAATCCTGGAGCTTCCACATCCCCGCGGGGTTCTGCCTCGGCATGCGCCCGTACGCAGATGCGACCAGTCCTGGCAGTTTTAGGGTTTGGGGTTGAAGGTTCAAGGTTTAGGGTTNNGGCTTCGGGAACAGGGCTTCCGAGATGTCCCGGTTTCGAGTCTGGCTTGCGACATGTTGCCACGTCACTCCTCTCTGTCTTGACAGCCTGCAATCCGAAGTCCCAATCCGAAGTCCCAAAATCGATACCCAAATCTTCCAACTGTACTGAGTTGCTGAATATCATGTATATTACTACGATTTATGTTGGAACTTCGAACCCCGAAACCCTAAGCTTATATTCACATTGTATACTGGATTCCTAATCAATCTGATGGGGCATATATGAACCCTAAACCCGCAAATACAAAACGTTTATTAGGATCCGGGGCCCCGCACTTGTTGGCAAAGATCGAGACAATCCTGGGCTTGCGGAGCACTTAGGGCTTAGGGATTCGCGTGTGCCCGACGTCATGCCTTTCAAGGACCTAAGCGGCCAAGGTTTATGGGTTCAGAGATGGGCCTAAACCCTAAACCCTTCAAGGTCTGAGCATACAGAGCTGGGGCCAGGAGCTGCTCCTGGTTTCAGGTTTAGGGTTTAAGGTCAGCTGATGGGTTTAGGGTGTAGCGCTCAGTTCAGGGTTTAGGGCCAGCTGAAGGTGTGACTGAGAGGTTTGGCTCGATGTTGGATCAGGGATCGAAAGCAGTACAGGCAACGCAGGCGAGTCGCTTCTGGATATTCTTCGGACAAGGCAGCTTGTTCGAGAAGATGAAGCCAACCCCGTCAGCACCTCAGGGGACTGGCTTGCAGACAGCGACGAAGAGACATGCACCTAGCTTGATTAGAGGAGAAGCGACGATTGTCCCACCTCATACAGCGAATAGTTAGCAGGTGCTCTAACAATAGTTCAATATGTCAAGACATAACTACATGTGCAACATAGAAAGAGTCAAAGTCCAAGCCAAACTCAGTGGAAAAACTCGCCGTATCAGCAAAAGCAGCAGAGCGGCAGCACTAGCAGCAGCAGCAGCCGTAGCGGTAG